TCCATGATCCTATGATTCTATGATTTGTTCCAGGACTTGGCCTGTGCTTGTTCGAAGGGCACCACAAAGCGAAAGGCAGAAGGAAGCGGCACCCCAGGCACTTTGGGCCCTCCTTTCCAGGTGGGTGCTCCATAAAGGAGCTCTTCCAGAGCCTCAGGTGGCCATAACACCTCCCTAAAGTCCCCCAGGGCTCTGTTCTTGTACAGACCAAAGGACGAGCAATGCCCAGCTCACCCTCATGTCAAGAAGTCTCCTTCCCTACGTGCCCCTCTCTCCCTTCACAGTCTCCCATCATCTACATTATATGAAGCCCCTTCCCTTCCTTTTACCAAGTCCCAAAGCCCAGCTGCTACTCTTGCTGTTAGGATAAAGAAATTCCAACCTCAGTAGCTGGAAAAAACATTCATTGGGAACATTTCACTGGTTGGGCAAATTCTTGGAGGCAGAAAACAGGTGATGTATAGATCAGGCACTTGAGGACATGGTTTAACAAACAGGCATGGTGTTGAAGGGTTGATGGTTGTACTCGGTGATCTTGGGTCTTTCCCACCCACAGTGCTTCTCCGATTCCATGTACAGTGTGGTGTGGTCAGGCCTGGCCAGGGTATGTCCTGGGTCACACGCACACAGGTCACGGGGGAGAAATGGAATCACGGAACGGCTGAGGTTGGAAGAGGCCTCTAGGGATCATCCCGTCCAGCCCCCTGCTCCAGCAGGGCCACCCAGGGCACTGACTTATCCTGATGTGCTTCATACCCGGACATTGGCGTGGATTGCTGCCCTGGAACAGCCTCGGGAAGAGCACGGAAAGGGTTTCCATTTACCTGAGCAGATCACGCGGGTTTTCCCACCTGTCATTTTGCCTCTGAACTTTTCTGTTCTAGGGCAGATGCAGCCTTGATGGGTTGATCCCTCTTTTGTGAGGACCTGGAGATTTCAGTTCACCCACCTGCCATTATCTCTCTGTGTTGCTTGGTGCTTGCATTATCGCACATAACCTAATAAAGCTCTTATAACACTCCTGCAGCCAGACCAGGGAGGTGTGGATAGGGTGAGTGGACTCTAAGGTGAATAGTAAGCTGTCCGGACTATTGGTTTCAGACTAGGGGCATCCTCTGAGGTCTATACTGTGGTCTGGACTGTTCGACATGTTATTCATTATTCTACACAGTGGGATGGAGTGTTCCCTCACCAAGTCTGTGCATGGTACCAATCTGAGAAGTGTTTATGTGAGGCAGTGCACCTTGTTCATTTAAAAGTCACCCGCCATTGATAAGGAGCCTGACAATGTGGAGAATGCTCTGACATAGCTCATGAACTTCCAAAACGATGAGCGTAAAGTCATAGACCTGCAGGAATTAAAAACATATATCAGTACAGGACAAGGCTGGCCAGACACTGAGCAGCCTTGTGGAAAAGGGCCTGGCAGAACTGACGGGCAGTGAGTGAAGTCATTCGTGTTCCTTCGTGCTGATTAAAGCTAACTGCATGCTGAAGTGCATTAGCAAGAGCATGGACAGCTAATAATAATAATAATAAAAGTAATTATTCATTATGATGGATCCCAGTTGTTCATTGTAAGAGGAGCCCAGTGTTGGGCTCCTCTACAGTACGTGGTGCCACACAACGAATGGGGTTGGTGGAGACCTTTGGACATCCCCTAATCCACCCCCTCGCACAAGCAGGGGCACCCTGGCCCTCTGCACAGGTCCGTGTCCAGGTGGGTTTGGAGCTCTCCGGAGCAGGAGACTCCGCAGCCTCTGGGCAGGGTGTCGCAGGGCTCTGGCACCTCTCAGTCGAGCTGCTCTTCCTCAAACTCGTGACATCCCTGAGGCCTCCGTGCGCACAGGGGTGCAGCGAGATAGGACTGGCACGGGATGGGGTACCCCAGGATAGGGGGCACCGGGATACGGGTACCCCAGGATAGGGGGTTCCAGGCTGGGGGAACACCAGGATAGGGAACACCCGGATAGGGGCACCCCAGGAAAGAGGGGGCACTAGGATACGGGTACACCAGGACAGGCAGCACCGGGATGTGGGTACCCCAGGACACGGGGACACCCGGCATGCAGTGAAGGGCCTGGGTGCACCAGGGTCTGGGTGCACCAGGCTGTGGGTGCACAGGGAGATGGAGGCGCTGAGGGTGACAAAGCTCCGTGGGCAATGGGAATCCCCCAAGCCTGGATGCACAGGGAGGCGCACAGGGTCTGGATGCACCAGGATGACACCGGGATCTGCTAATGCCAAGGTGCACGGGAATGCTCACAAGGGCCTGGGAGCAGCTCCCCATCCCCAAGGATTTGGGGATCCTACCCCATGCGCAGCCCTCCCCAGGGCCCGGCTGGTGGCAGGCGA